GATTCCCAAGACTTCCCATCGGGTGGAAAAAGGCAAAGTGCAGCTGAATACGTGAATTTTAGTGGGAGGAAACGGATTAGACCTCAGGCTGACCTGAAGACCAGCGCCTGGACACATTGATCAGACAAACGTCAGGAGGTCGCATAAACAAATTATTGCATCGAACTCTCTAATTTTTGGCAGCGGTCCAAAGGACGAAACACCAACAATTATTATAAACGTGTAGGTCAGACTTGTGATTATATAATTATAGTTATAATTATGTATTTTAACATAAATATAGTTTTTTCAAAAGACGTATTTTAATTTACAAATTCAGTTTTAATTACAATCTTTATTGCACGTGACTTGTCTTGTTTCTTCTGATAGACTAGATGCGAATTCTCGCGATAGCGATAGGGAGCGGCGCAAACGGCTGACTGCTTTGGTGGGTTTGGGGTGAGGGTGATGGCGAATCAGGTTGTGGACTACTATCTCACGCTCGGCATGAATACCGAGACTTCATTTTATAAAGTGAAGAGAGGTATGTTTTTTTAAGTGTGTCTCATGTTCAGACTGGGTTATTAGGTTCAAGCTTGATGAAACACTTATTGGAAAAAATGTACGATTTTTTACAAATTATCCTGTGAGTGGGAAGGATTTTGTTCGCACGACGTTTTATGAAATCTCCATTACACTTCCAAAGCCGTCTTTAAAGAAGCTAGACCGTTTTGATGACTACTTTGTTCTTGGACCCATACAAGTCAGCGGCGCTTTCCATTTCGCCTTCACAACTGATGGCTCCACCTTTAAACAAGAAATGAGTGGTGGCAAAGAGCTAAAGACATCTGGCGGACAGGGGTATTTTGTCGTTGAGAGTCGTTTCGCTGTGGGTGACCCTGAGGATCTTGATCGGTTTGCGCAATGGGATCTTGAAGGCGTGGTTTTACAGACTTATGTTGCTAAAAATTTGGGCCCTTTTTCCGAATGGCGTGATCGTCTTAGAGTTGCGCATGAGTGCGGTTACAACATGGTTCATTTTACTCCAATTCAGGTGAGCTGTTGCGGTTCCTTTTCTGGTTGCATCCGCGCTTTCATACTCGTATGCTTTGTCGATTATCGTAGGAGTTGGGGATTTCGAATTCGGGATACTCCCTCAAGGACCAACTTTCAGTTAGCTCGGCCTTTTCGGACTCTTCAGCTATCAAAAAGGTCGGTTGGGAGGATATTGAAGAGCTGGTAAAGGAAATGGAAACCGAGTGGTCAATTCTAAGCATGTGCGATCTGGTGTTGAATCATACAGCAATTAATTCACCTTGGCTTCATGAACATCCAGAATGCGGTTACAATTTGGAGAATTCGCCTCACCTTGTACCTGCTTTCCTCGTCGATCAAGCCATCTGGAGGGCCACTTTATTTTGTTCTGAGGGTAAACTGGTGAACAAGCACATCCCTCCAGAATTTGGGACTGGCGACACTCATGTGGATGCTCTGCGTAGTTACCTCGTTGACCAATTTAAGGATCTCAGACTACACGAGTTCTACCAAGCAGATGTTGACCTGGTGTCCGAGGAGTTTAAGCAGTGGCTCAGTAAGCGCTCAAAAATACTTCTCAGAGAGCAATCTTTTGTCAATTTATGATCTATCTTCTTCTCAGTCCTTGAATTGCCTCAATGAAGCTCTAAGCAGACGCGCTTTTAAGGATTTAAGTACGGATTTGCAATTTAAATGCAGCAACTTCTGGTCTTAGTTCTGAATGTTGAAGTGGACAACGCCAAAACAAAAGCTCCATCAACTGAAAAGCAACTAGGGCAAAATGCGTTGAATGGTTCTTCGTTTTATTAGCAAGCTTATGCTAATGTTGCAACGATTACTTATGCCCATAATCATATCCGAATTTTCGTGTTTGTATCAGTTCCTTGTTTAGCTTTGGTCCGGTCCCTAACGTTACTAGGTCACTAATCGCGCTTCCTGGAAGAATGACAGTGTTAACCGTCCAGCAAACCGAGTCTACTAGGGTGATGCAGTTGTTACCTTTAAACTA